GGGTCATGGGAAGGGTAAGCAGTGCTCACAGCTGCCCATTTCTCCCCTGACTGCCCCATCATGAGAGGGACCACAAGCATCTTTCATGACTGGTAGTGTATGTGAGAATAGCATGTAGGTAGCTGATCTCCTTTAGGGGTTGGGGTGGATCCAACTCCTCCAGTCTAAGCGATCTGGGAGCAGGTGCTGGTGGTGCTGGGCAAAGTTAGGCCATAGGGCACACAAGCTGTTGCTCTGCCTGTGTCTATTTTGGCTGCGCATACAGCAGTGTCAGAGCCTGCCTCTGCCCTGGTCCTTGCACTGATTTTCCCTCTGGCCTAGGAGCTGGGGAGTTTGCTTCACATATGGAACCTGGTTTGGTCTGGAGGCATTTGCCAGTATGCAGCATGTGTACCGTGATGGGTAAGTAAGGGCCAGCTGGTTCCTCCAGCTCCAGCTCTGGGCAGGGATGGGACCCTGAGGTGGGTCTGGGTGGAGCCCTGGGCTCTTCTGCCTCAGCTACTGCTCCTTCCAAATCTGATACCTGTGATATGACCAGAGCACTCAATGCCTGAGTTCCAGCTCTTGCAGCAACCCCTGCCATGAGCAGAGTAGAACACAGCTTCTGTTTGCATCTGGAAAACTGCAAACTAGCTAGCTGTCATTGGTACTTAGCCCTGTCTGATTCTCTGCCTGTCCCTGCAGGGTGGCATGCAAAGAAGTGGCCCGAGCCTGCCAGTTCCTGCTCTCCAAGCAGATGACAGATGGTGGATGGGGAGAGGACTTTGAGTCATGTGAGCAGCGCACCTATGTGCAGAGTTCCTCCTCGCAGATCCACAATACATGTTGGGCCCTGCTGGGGCTCATGGCTGTCAGGTAGGAGCAGCCTTCACCGCTTCTGACTTCGCATTTCTTTTAGTGTCTGGTGAGATGGGAGAGAGCAGCTGGGTTGTGTGGAAAAGCTGGCAAAGGCTCTGGGTCCTGCTAGTGTGAGCCTTGCACCCAATTGTGTTTTTTAGTTACTCCACACCTGCAATGACACCAGAGTTGTGGTCCAGCCAGTGAAGCTGCTGATTATAGGAGAGGGGGGAAGCAAAGGTTTGGATCACAATTGCAGACCGCCAGCCTAGAGTAATTCTGCTGTATTAGAAATGCATTTTACCCTGGAGTTGTAAGGGGCCTTCCCAAAGTACTCAGCATGCTTTAATTAAGCCTGAGGCAGACTGGAGGTGATTGAGCTCCTGAAGTAGATATGCAGACAGCCTAGATGACAAAAGTGATTATATCTCCCTTGTGCTTTGCAGGTACCCTGACACTGGTGTGCTGGAAAGGGGCATCAAACTGTTGATTGATAAGCAACTACCCAATGGTGACTGGCCTCAGGTACGTGGATCACCTCTGATCTCTCCAGTTTGTTCCCCAGTGATACATATGTCCTGGGCATCATGTAGCCCTTGTAATGATACGATCAAAAGCCATGTGTGTTTTTTGGTGGAGGACTTCAGGAAAGTAATGAGCTCAGCGCTGTGTCCTGGACACGCTGTGGTTTCCTGTCACCCACATCGCCCTGCTGTCTGTCTTTCTCAGGAGAACATTGCTGGGGTGTTCAACAAATCATGTGCCATCAGTTACACTGCCTACCGCAATGTCTTCCCCATCTGGACGCTCGGACGTTTCTCTCGGCTGCATCCCAACAGCCCTCTTGCTGAGCACCTGCAATCCGGACCCTTGGCTGGGATGGGGAAGACTCCAAAGACAGCACTGTCTGACTGAACCCATACCATGGCTTTGACTTGCCTTAGGTGTCATGCTGCATGGGGGCACAGGGGGACTTCCTGCACAGGATCTCAGTGCTGATCTCAACTGCCTTTGCCAGGGAGGAGAGTGCTGCTGTGGTGCCACAGAAACTCAGCTTTCTGTTGACTCTCTTCTAAGAATCCACTTTTAAAGGCTCTTGCCAACTGTATCTACCTTCAAGGGATATGCACTGAAGTGCCTTTTCGAATCAGTCTGATGATCTTCAGAGAGAAAGCTGCTGAGCTGTGTTGTATCATACGTCTAGACAGACTGTCTCTCATTCTCAGTAGAACAAGGATGATTTAATCTTCTTCTTGTCCTGCACCCCAAGGCTGGCTGGCTGTAGCAGGAGTGTAGGATGTGGTGGGGCTTCCCCTGTGCCCAGCACTGTGATGGAGTGCACTGCACAGTCCACAGTTCATCCTGAACTAGCCTGCACTGGGAGTGCCAACAAAAACCTTTGAAGTGCTCTCTGCTCAGGAGGCTGTGCTGAGAGGGGGGGCATCTGTTGTCCTGAATATGGGAAGGAGTGCTTCACTCAGTTTTCTTTCCATTCCGTCCCCCACCTGGAGGCATCTGGCTTCCCAGAGCTGAACAGGTCAAATCATCAGCATCGTTCCCACTTGGAAAAAGGGGAAACTGAAGCAGAAAGCACTGAGGTGATTGGTGTTAGGGCATAGTCTCCTAGGCTTCCCTGAGCAAGGGTGTGGGTATCAGAGGTGGAAGTCATGTCAATGGATGAGTTAATAAATGGCTAATGGTGTTACAAGTGGATCCTGGCTGTATGTTGGTTTCCTCATCGCCTTCCCCCAGCATACATCACAGGCACAGCTGGCACAGAAAATCCCTGTGCTGCATACAGATGCAGGAGATTTCCCTGGAAGCTCTAGGACCCTGGGTTTCTTGTAGGTTTGCTCTCAGCGTCCTGAGATGAGGACCAGGCCAACAAAAGTAGTGCTTGGAGCTGGGCTCCTCCTAGAAATGGAGGCTGCATAGAGGTAGCATCCCATCATAGGTTTAGAGGAAAAGCTGCCCTTAGAAGCAAAATAACATAAGGATTTTCACTACTTTGCACCAGCAGGCAGATTTATAGCTGCTTCTCGGAAAGAAGGGATTTGTCACATGTAACAGTTATTTCTGAAGACAAACACTTTAACGCCTGACTTCTCCCCTTCCTCCTTCTTACTCCAAGATTTGATTGCTGAACACATCACCACATAGTAGGGAATATCCCTTCAGTCAGTTTTAAGTAACTGTCCTGGCTGTGTCCCCTCCAAAACAGTTGCTCACCCTCAGCCTCCCTGCTAGGATAGCAATGAAAAAACAGAGAAGACCTTGATATTGTGGTAGCAGTGGTCAGCAATAGCTAAAACCTCAGTGCACACAATATTTTTGTCACCAACCCACCAGATAGTTCGATAGTGGCTTTTATGTAGAGCTAGCTGCTTACCAGCCAAAAGCAGTACAGGATTTGAATACTGTCTCCCAAAAGATTCTCATAAAGATGCCGATGCTGGACAATGTGGCAGTCACTGAGGAGATGTGCCAGCTGCATCGGAAAGGAACCTGGTGCCAATGTCCCTTTGGGTCACTGTGTTCAGAAAGATGGAGAATAGGGATAGGGAATCCTTCCTGTTATGCACTGTCTGCCCTGAGTTGGGGACATTACCAGAAAACCTCCTGACATGGTTTGGCCCTCTGATCATTATTCTTTACTGATAGTTCAGGCTGGCAGTGATGAAATTGCTGAGAGAAGCTTTAGGGCAAACAATAACTTCAGAGGACTGAGGCGGTCAGTAGATAGAGCAGGCATACAGATGGTGTTTTCCTTTGTCCCTTCAGTGACAGGGAGTGATATCTGGCCAGAAAAATCCATCTGAGAAATACATGGCTGAGAGACTGGTGCAATGGCAAGAATTTTTCTTGACCATGGGGCAGTTCTCTTCACACCTGGCCTGATGGCTGCAGATGGGGTCCCTGTGTTGGGGCACTCCAAGCACAGACATCTGCTGGAGAAGTAGCACGGTAAGCTGCAGGCAGTCCAGGAGGCTCCTGGAATGCATCAAGGATAACTTCCTGAGCCAGGTAATAGACAGCCCAAACAGGGGGATGCAATGCTGGACCTGTTGCACACCAACGTGAGCAAACTGAATTGGTGGCATCAGGATTGGAGGCTGCCTGGGCTGTAGTGACCATGAGATGGAGGAGTTCACACTTCTGAGGGATGTGGGACAAAGAGTAAAAACAGAAAGCTTAGTTTTAGGAAAGCCAAAATCCAGCTCTTCAGAGAATTGGTCAGCAAAACCCCCTGAGAATCTGACCTTAAGGACAAGGGAGCGGAGCAGAGCTGGCAGGTCTTTAAGGAAGCTTTCCTTAGGGCACAAGAGCTCTCCATACCCAAGTATAGAAAGCCAGGAAAGGAAAGCAAGATACCAGCACAGCTGAACTGGGACCTGCTGGTCAAACGGGGGAACAAGAAGAAAATGCATGTGTGGTGAAAGCAGGGACGAGGAATCTGGGAGGAGTATAGGGATGCTGCTAGGCTGTGTTGGGATGGGTTCAGGAAAGCCCAGGCTCAACTGGAACTGGACTTTGCAAGGGGCACAAAGAAGCATGAGAGAGCCTTCTTTTGCTTCCACATGGACTTTGCTTATTTCATTGTTGTTTGTTTTTACGTTTCATTAAACTCCTCCTTATCTCAACCTGTGATTTATTTATTTATTTATTTATTTAGGAAAGAGTAGTGTTGTGCGTTTCCAGGCTGTCTTTTATCCTTGCTCTCCAGCCTCAGATAGGAAAGAGTGGCTGTCGGGAGAAGATCAGTAGCCTGTGGTTGCTCCTGCAGCAAACCAGAACCTATCTGAGGGGCATTGTGTTGAGATCCTGGCCCTCTGCACTGCTGCCCAGCACCAAATGAGAGACAGTGTCTGGCTGCAGAAAGCCCACAGGAGAGCAAATTTTCTGGAGTGGGATTCCTTGTGATGAGTACTTGAGCACCACGAGCACAGTCTCTGTACCTCAGGAAACTCATTTCGGGTCAGGCTCCAGTCCTGCATCTACACAGGGAGGAGTGGGTCTGGGACTGGGCTGAGGGGCAGACTCAAGGATGTGGCCAAAAGTAGGGGAGCTCCAGTCTCCAGAGACAGAGAGGTGCACGAGTGGTTTTAATAAGAACAGAGAGGTTTTAATAAGAACAAATAAGAGCACAAGAGGAAATGCCCCACTACTGGTGCCCATGGCAAAAGGGACCTCACAGCTCTCCAAGCAGCACCAACTTCTCTTCCCTTGCAGCCGCACTAAAGTTCATGGCAGAGATGGGGTCTCCTTGCCTGGGGCTCAGGGATCCTTTTGTGTCCCACTCCAGTGTCACAGTGCTCATATCCCCATGGGGATGTGCCAGAGACACCTCTTCAACATCATCATAGTCTGTGCTCCTCAGGAACAAGGACAAGGTATCTCCATCTACTCTAGAGCCTCCAGTACTTCTCTGGGAGTGCAGACTCACCCCTGCAAGCAGTAAGACAAGCACTGTGGTTTGTTCCATAGGATACCCCTTTGCGGTTATCCATCACAATCCTTCCTTTTTCTCACTGGCCATGAGCCCTTTGTCCAAGACCCCTTTCCTCCAAGAAAATCTCCCTGGGGAAGGTTCCCCATCAGGAGAGACTAGGCTCTTGGTACTGCAGCAATTCACCGAAGGCACAGAATGGTACATGGTAACTAGCAGTGCTGCATTTCATTTCCCTCTTACCTCTGACTGCATTCCTGGGCTCTTCTCCCTCCTCTCGTGTCCTGGGCACCTCACAGTGCCCCTGCCCAGAGACAGGATTATTCTCAGGTTCAGAAACATCCTTGGCATCATCATAGCCATCTTCTTGATCACCTCTGGGCAGGATAGCAATATCTAGAAGGAGAAGGGATCTGGTGACAGTGAGAAGTAACATTTCATGAAGTGCAAGATGGGGAATGTGCAGGTGGGGGGGCTGAAAGATTGGTGTTGGCAGGGACAATTGGAGCCAGCCCTGGGCCAAGGACAAGGGAAAGGTCCATGCAGATGTGCCCTCAAAGAGCCTGTGCTCACCTGAGTGATCGAACACTGTCTGCTTGTTCCATGCAGGGTTGTATCTGATCTCCTCATACACAGCCTCAGGGAAGGGCTCCTCAGCTCTCCTGGAGCCTGAGGACAAAGGAAGGTCTGTCCTGGGGATGGGCAGAGAGGGATGGGACTCTGCTTTTCTCCTCCATGCCCTGCTCCTGGGATCAGCCCAGGGCTGGCTGTTTGGCCACCACTGTCACATCCCCTTTGAGAGCAATGACCTGGTGTGAGACAGCATCAGCCTCATGTGGACTTGTCAGAGACAACCTTCATGCTTCTTTGGCCCCTGTGTTAGATCCCACTGCTGATCCCTAGAGCTGCCCTCTCTCTGTCCCTCAGGTCCATAGCATGGCTGTGCCCAACACAACACAGGAGCCTGCCAACAGAGTAATGGACTGCACCCCGCACTCCTCCTGGCACTTCCTCTGCCCCAAAGCCCCCTCCACTGCTGCCACAGTGGAAAATCTTTGGCTGTCTCCTCTCTACACCCATCCCTACCAGTGCTGCTTTGTCATTTCTTCCCTTGCCCCAACATTAACTCCCTCTGCTTCTGGGCACTCTCCCCGCCTTGCTGCTGGGGCCCAATGTCCAGGCTGTCTGTGGAGTGGTGTGAAACAGGAAGCAGCAGATGGTCCTATCCCCCCACTTTACCCATGCTTCTTCCAGCATCACCGCCAGCCCTATCAGGAGGCATCTCCCCCAGAATTACTGGGACAGGACCTACCTCTGCGCTGAGCCTTGCCACTTTGCACCTGCCCAGCCAGGAGAGCCAGGAGCAGGCAGAGAAGAGCCCCCAGGATAATGCAAATGACAACAGGCACGGAGACTCTCCCTCTGCCAATTGGATAGTCTGCAGGGGAAGGAACACAGCAGTGGATTCACCAGGGTTCGGAGAGAAAAGGGGCAGGACATCCCAGCCCTTATCCCAGTCATGCAAGGCAGCGGGGATTGGGGACCAGGGGCTGGGTGATGCAGCAACTCCCATCCTCCTGGTACATTACAGCCCCTCTCCATCCCTAACATCCTTGTGCCTCTTCCTGGGCATTTCACACCCTGATAAAGAGATTCCTCCCCTTGGCTGTGGGTCATAGTTTGGCCCAATGAAGACCCAGCCCCAAGGGTGGACATCTTACCTGCTTGTGGGGGGAACGCTGTCATCCTGGGTGAAGCTGCAGAGGAGAAGAACAGGGCTGAGGTGGTGTGTGTACAGTAATAGGGAATCCCCTGGCACACATCTCCAACAAGTGCTACCTGAATTGCCCTCCTGCAGGGCTGGGCAGGGTGTCTGGGACAGTGTCCAGGGCCCTGCTCTGCTCCACTCACGATTGTGGGCAGGACCTGAGGAAGAAGGCCCAGCTCCATCACTCACCTAAGCAATGCACTCCAACATCTTCCTTATGCCGGCAGACACCACTGTCTCCAGGCCGGGCCCAGCAGTCCTGCAGCGACAGCTCCGTCCCTTTGCACTCCACTTGCTCCAGCCAGATGAGTCCTGTACCCTCCCCAAATGGAGCCTCAGCCAGGGCAGACACTGCAGGGCCACAGCCCAGCTGCCGGCACACCACCTCAGCGTCCTGCATGTCCCACGAGTCATCGCACACTGTGCCCCAGGAGCCGTGGTGCCAGACCTCCACTCTGCCTGAGCATCTGTCCTTGCCTCCCACAGCACAGATCTTCTCCCTGTCTGCAGATGCAGAAACTTCCCACGTGGCACCAGCACAGTCGGGACAGTCTTGCCAGGCTAGAAGCCATGTGGAGAAGTTGTTCTTACCTGTGCAACTGGTGGAGTTGGGGCATGCTGCCACCAGAGGCCTTCCTGGCTGTCTCCCTGCAGAAAGAAGTGTTGTAGTGAAGGGGCTGGGAGTCGTGCAGAAGAGAGCAGAGATGGCCTTGTCTTGCACCTCATTGTGGTCATGGCAGCAGCCGAACCCCAGTCACTGAAAGGACACACTTGGCACTGCAAAGGGACCCAGAATACTCATCCTCACAGAGTGCCTGGATTACAGAGCAGCAGGAGGGGAGGCTCCTCATATCCTGTCTGGTCTCTTCTGAGACCTCCCCTGGAGTTGCCTCTGCTTCCCCTGGGCATTGCTGGTGAGCACGTGTAGCTCTGACAGCTGAAGCGGCCAATTTGCCACCAGCAGCAGCAGAGTTTGATGTGGGCAGAAAAAGCCCCTCCAGGCTCTTTCTCTGTGCCAGACTGTGCCAAGCAGGTAGCAGGAGCTGAGGTGCCACTGGTGCCCTTGTGGCTCATAGTTACCACTGCAGGTGATGTTGGTCTCGTCTCGCAGATCATCACATGACTGTGGGTCCCAGGGCGCAGAAGGACACTGCCAGAAGGTGCTATTGCTCTTCCCACACTCGATACGATCCAGCCATGCAGTGCCAGAAAGCTTATCGTAGCGCGAGTTCATTTCCACGGTCCCACTGTCCCCACAGCCCAGCTGCTTACACACCAATGGCACCGTGTGAGGAGTCATCGAGTTGGAACAAACACTGCCCCACGTCCCGTTATAGAAAACCTGCAGGCGCCCGGAGCAGCCATCGTTGTTCTCCAGCCTCAAGGCCATGAACTCTGTGAGGAAGAAAAACCCAGGACAAACAGGCTGGTCCAGCTCTGGGAAGCAGAGGTTCCTCTGCACTCTCGGGCTTCCTCCACTCCCGGAAGCATGGCCAGCAAGTCCCCTTCGCACCTGAGGATGGAAAGGTTGCAGATGTGCATCCCCACCCTCCCCACTCACTGTCAGAGTGGCCATGCTCCCCAGATACCCCCCAGAGCAAACAATAAATCTGCATGCAGACAGGCTCGGGCAGAGGCCCCCTGGTGGCATCATCCATGCTCGGCTCACCCCTCTGCCCATCCCTTTGCCCCATGGCCAGAAGCACCACTCCCAGCACCGACCTGAGCAGATGACTCCCGCGTCCTCCTTGTGCCCACAGTCATGCTGTCCCCATCCCTGGACACGACAGTCCCAGAGAGCAGCTTCAGTCCCGGAGCAGTTTACGTCATCTATCCAGATCTGCCCGGAGCCCTCCCCAAACCGAGCGGAGCCGGCCGCCTCCACAGCCCACCCGCAGCTCAGCTGGCGGCAGACAACATCAGCGTCAGCCATGTCCCAAGCGTCATCGCAGACCGTGCCCCATTGGCCCTGGTAGTAGATCTCCACTCTTCCTGCACAGCGCCCGGCCCCATCTGCCAGTCGGACCCGTCGGCTCCCTGCAGTGAGGAGAAGCCCCAGCCATCAGAGGCCGCCTGCCTGTCTGCTGATGTGCCCGTGAGATGCGCAGCGCTGCTCACCCCGGCACACGGCCCCCACGTCCTCCATGACGCCCGTGGCCTCTGGCAGGGAGGTGTTGCAGAGGTTCAGGCCGGCCTCGTGCCCTGCACACCGCACCCCACGCAGCCCCACGGCACCCATCCCTCGCTGGGCTCTCAGAGGGATGTAGGCTGCCTCCGCCTCCCCGCAGCGCAGCTGCCGGCACACCACTCTGGCTTCCTCCAGGTCCCACTGGTCATCCAGGACTCTGCCCCATGTGCTGTGCTGGAAGATCTCCACGCGCCCATCACACCGGCTCCCTCCGCCCACCAGCCGCAGGGACGTGGGGCGAACGAGGCCTGCGGAGAGCAGAGGTTTTCCAGAAATGCATCAGGGAGCCTGGCACCCCGCAGGGTTTCTGCAGGAAGAGCTTCAGCCTAGTGCTGCTGTGAGGTCTCCGGCTTTGGATGGCCGTATTGCACAAAAGGAGTTACCACAGCTTTTTTCCAGCACGCACCCGAGCAAATGACAGCGGCATCATTTTCATGAGAGCACGGCGTGGCCCCCAGGACGGTCACTGGGCACTGAGCCAGGTGGGCTTCACTCCCATCACAGTGGAACGAGTCACTCCAGACAGGGCCGGTTCCTCCCCCAAAACGCCCTCCTTTAGGAATGACCTCTGCGAACCCACAGCCAAGGTGATGACAGAGAACATGGGCGTCCGAGAGGTCCCAGCGGGAGGCACAGAGGGTGCCCCAGGTCCCCATCACCTGCACCTCCACCCTGCCTGCACACGCCGTGCTGCTGTTCGCCAGCCTGAACCCTGTGTATTCTGGGAAAGAAGAGGAGGGTTTGTGCTCTAGCTTTCTCAGGATCTGGAGAAGCCAAAGGGACATTGTGCCCTTTTCCTTCTGCACTACTTCAGTGTGACAAGACCACCACATTCATTCACACCCAGCACCGCCCCATCCTTGCTCCCATGTTCCCAGCACAACCCCGTGTTCAACCCCATCCTGAGTCCTCACTTGTGCAGGTGATATGAGTGCCATTTGGGTGGGAGCAGGACTGGTTGATGGAGGATTCCTTGAGGCAGGAGGTGAGGACAGATGCATTCATCACATACTGCAGATCTCTGTCACAGATGGGACTGACTTCTTCATCCAAAGGAGTTGCTCTGGGTAACAGCAGGGCTTTGCCACACAGCAAATCCCTGCAGACAACATCAGCAGCTTTGGGACCAAAGTGTGAGTCACAGACAGGTTTCCACTGTTTTCCATCATGGATCTCCACATGACCTGAGCAGTCATTGTCTCCTCCAACAAGCCGAATAGGTCCTGGAGCAAGCAAAGACACTTGGGATCTCACCGGCACTCCCATTCTTATGTCCCACCTCATCTCCAAATCAGCTACATGCAGAGCCCCGCAGCCATCCCAGCACCTCTTGATGGGTGCTGAGGGCACAAACACATCAGGGAGTCCCTACTGCTCCTTAGAAACCAACCCAGCACTGTGGACTTCTTTCTCTCCAAAGCCCACAACCACAGGCACTGCTCAGGAAAACTCCCATCCTGGAGCCCCTGTTCTGCCTGATCCCAGCCCCCAGCACAGCAGTGACAACAGCATGTGGGTAATGGGCTCGGAAGCTGCAGATATTTCAGTCTGCTCTGCTCTGCCAGGCTCTGGCAAGGCAAAGGAACCCCTTGGAGATGCCAGAAAAGTTCCCTGTTCCCAGATGCCTTGGGCTGTTGTGGCACTGCTATTGGATGGGATGCCACAAGTTTCCAAACCATGGTCAGCGTCTGCACCAGCCCCTGCTCCACTGCCTGCCTGGGGAGGGGTCCTCATCCAGGGCCAGAATGCACTGCTGGTTGCATGTGTCCCCATCCAATGGCCAGGAATGGTAGGAGAGTGGTCAGAGAGCTTACCTCCAAGCAGCTCCTTTGCCTTGGCCAAGAGATTTGTGCTTGCTGGAGCACAGTCCAAAAATTCCCAGCCACCTCATACGTTTCTCAGGGACATATGTGGACACTTTAATAGCTCTCATTGTCCTGGGTGATCAGAAGGAGACAGATGGGAACCAACAGGCACTGTGACGTGGATGCAAGGGATTCATCTCCTTGCCCCAGGCACCAACCAACAGTCGGTTGAGCCACCTTGGGGCCAGGCAGGATGCCCACAATGAGGACTCCCAGTGGGCCTTCCCAGGGACCAGCAATTGGCAGCACCAGCTCATCACCACAAGTGGTATGCCAGGTGTTCTCTGGCATCTGCTCATTGACTCACCTGAACTGGCCACAGAAGTGGAGGATAGGCTCGTCCCTTACCTGAGCATGTAACTCCGGCGTCCTCACTGTGAAAACAGTTATGTTCTTTCCATCCTGAATGTGTGCAATCAGACAGTGCAGACTCAGAGCCATTGCAGGCAACGTCATCCATCCAAATGGGGCCAGATCCTGGCCCAAAGTGTCCGTAGTGAGGAGCTTCTATAGCAGACCCGCAGTCCAACTGCTTGCAAACCACTGCAGCATCGTTTATGTCCCATGAATCGTCACACACGGTCCCCCACTCATTGTTGTATTTCACCTCCACTCTCCCAGCACAGTGCACGCCGCCATTTGCCAGCCTCACCTCCACAACTCCTTCAAACAGTAACAGAAGATTCATCAGGAGAGTGTTGAGCCCCACACCATGGGTTTGGGTTCCACCCTGCTCAGCCACACTCACAGGCCGTGAGGTTGGAGCCCATTCTCCTGTTATCTGACCCTGAGAAGACACTTCCCAGAGAGACCCCAGTGACCCCATTGGTGTCTGCTTGCCCTGGACTTTGGGACAAGCGAATGAGAACTTACCACTGCATGGCTGCACAAAGAGGAGCAGCCACAGCACCCAAGGAGGCAGGAGTCCCTCTGTCCCCATCCCAAGTCTCTTGTCCTCTGGCACAGAACTTGCTGTGATCCAATCCCTGCTACAGTTCCTGGGGACTCCTGGGGACAATGACAACTGGAGAGCAAAAAAATCTACAAATACTTGCCCAGATTGCAGCAGCAGCCAATTGAAGCAGCAGACACCTTTTTAGACATTATCGGCAGTAATCTCCCTTCTGACGCAACCCAGTTCTCCAATGAACTCCGCCAGTGCTGTTTATGACCATATATGAGGGATTGGGGCCGCTGTGGGTGTCACATTGTGCTGGTGGGCATCAACATGGGACTGCTCTGCTGTGGGGAAGATGGGTCTGTCACTGTTGCACCCTGCAGGAACACTGAGCATCTCCTGAGTAGGAAAGTTCAACAGCACAAGATGTGACAGTCCTAATACCCCTGTGCTGCAGGAACCATGAAGATAGGACTGCACCAGGACTGCATCGAGATGGGAAGGGATCAGCCCCTGCCTTGCTATTGATGGGAGCAGCAGAGGGAAAAGGCTCTTGGTCAGGGCCAGAGACCAGTCCTGGGAGTGCTGGCTTGCCTGTCCTTCCCTGGAGAGCCCTGCTGAAGGTTCCTGGCAGGAGTGATGGCTGGGACAGGTCCTGTCCTGGCAGCAAAACTGCAGCCCAGAGACTCAGGTGCATCTTGGCTCTTGGTGTGTCACCCAGGGGCCATTATTACCCGTGATGTGTTGGGAGCCAGAGCCTGACAGACACGGCAGGTTTATAAACCACAGCCCACGTCACATCATATGCAGGCAGGAAGACAGCGGTTTCCTTCTAGCCCTGTGCCCAGGTGCATCCCTGCGGTGCCCCTGAACCACTTCCACCACAACTGCACCAAATGAGGCTTCGGGGGATGCTCCCTCAGTTCTGAAGTCAACGGAAGGGGAAGGGGAAAGGAAGGGGAAAGGGAAGAGGAAAGGGAGGTGAATAATGTTTTATCCATTTAATACCTGTTTTGATTTCTACCTATTTAACTTCTATAGCTATATATACATATGCATACAAATGTATTCACCTATATATGAAGGGTGCTCTGAGAGTAATGTGTCCTATTTTACTATGTTGGCCCATGATATCAGAGGCAGATGGTTGAACCTTCCCACCAATAGTCCATTCCATGTTGTTGCTGTGTGACAAATGGCAGCAGAAGGGCAATCTGACAAAATGGTGCCTGACATGGAAATGCTGATGAAATAAAGGTGCGTCATCGATTTCCTTCAGGCAGAAAAATTGCAGCCATAGACATTCATTGACACTTGCTGAATGCTTTTGGCGACCAAGCAGGGGATGCGACCACAGTGAGGCAGTGGATGGTGTGCTTCATCAGTGGTGACAGCAACAGAGTCACCTCCCCTAGTGCAGACTTGCACAAGTGCAGTGCAGACTCTTGCTTACCACTGGTGAGTATGCATAGATAATGGTAGTGACTGTGCAGAAAAACAGCATTCTGTTGCTGAGAACTTGGTCTATCAAATGGTGTTATTCTGTCCTTTGTATCTGTTGTAGTTTCCAAGGAAATAAATAGTAAGCATTAATTTCAGAGCAACCTATATACATATATATCAGTACTAGATTGTGTGTCTATTCATAAAATACATATTTATATATATATTCAAGCAACCATATATAAATGTTGCACTGTACATTTTGCATATATTATTTCTATTGTATATAAAAGTATATATTTGTATACCTAAACACTTCCAGGTCTAAAGGCAATCACAGAGACTCCTGAGAACACAGAATCATAGAACCATAGAACATCCTCAGTTGGAAGGCACCCCCAAGAAACATCATGTCCAACTCCAGGCTCCACAGAGGCCTACCTAAAAATTAAACCATGTGCCTAAGAGCATAATCTGAATGCTTCCTGAACTCTATCTGTTGTAGAGGTTGGCTCAGATCAGAGGCTGTTTCATCCCTTTGAGGGTGTTGAATAGTGTTTCTAATGGGCTATACCCTAACACAGTGCAGTAAACTGTAGCTCTTTGGCAATGCCCAGATCAGGGCATGTCTTTTCAAAACAGAACTCATAGGCTGAGATAAAAATGATGTACTAGGAACGGAAAGCAAAAGAGAAGTAACAGTAACTATTTTACACATACATGGAAGTCTGCTTAAAAATCACTGTAATTCTGTAAAATTAACAGCTCTCTCTGGGGCATAACTTTCAATGTCCAAACCGTACCATGCTGTATGCGGGTATCAGATGTGTTCCAACCAGTTCTTTATATATATATATATTTACATAGCTCCAAAGAGCAGAGTGGCAGATTTAACAAAGGCCCAGTATGTTCCAGGTATAAAGAGAGAACATGATGGAATGCAATCTCCAGAAGAAGTTTTACAAGAGAAAGCAAATACAATCTTTGACAGTAAAGCTTCTTAGAAATGCAATGACTTTGACTTGATACAATGAGGAACTCAGGCCCTGCATGCTCTGCATCGGCTCTGAGAGATGCAGAATGTCAACCACAGCTCATTTTTTTTCTGCCACTATGGGTTTTACAGTGCTCCTACAATATCCAGTTCAACAGAAAAAAATTGGTGGTAGATGAAAGAAAAGCTGATGCTACAGATATAGCTCAATGCTGTTTCCATTAGAGGTACTGATAACAAATATAATGTCACTGAAGAAAGCTCAGTTTATGGAAAGTAATTTCATGTGTGTTGATACATTGGCTAAACACAGTCAACAGGGAAAAATACACAGCTGTGTTTTCCATTTTGATAAAGAAATTTGAGAACGAGTTCTGAGATTTCTAAAAAAACATCCTTTTTTGTATATTTTATGCTAATATTTCATCAAAAATCTTTGATAAACACCTTGAGAACTCACTGGGACTAGCAACCACTGCCATCAAACCAGCACAGTGTGTTAGTTCCGCAGAAGGTTGGACATCCATAATCCAGGTATTATCAAAGATGAAAAGCATTATGTTTTGTTCACCGATGGATCCTGTTGTGTTGTAGGAAACCATCCAAAGTGGAAGGCTGCATTATGCAGTCCCACTTAGCAGGTCACGAAAGCCATGGGAGGAAAAGGTGAGTTGAGTCAATTTGTAGAGGTGAAAACTCTCCAGCTGGCCCAGAAATTTGCTGAGAAGCAGCCAGCACTCTGTGCTGATGAATGGTGAAAGAAATACTCATGAATGATGGCAGTTTCTTTGTGTGGGTGGCTACAGCAATAGAGGTAGAGCTGGCAGTGCAGAGGTAAACCTGTCTAGGCTGCTGCATTGTGGCAAGTCATGGCAACCCACAAGCTCCTGGAAGGGTTGATATAATGGACTATTTATACTGAGGGTGTTGGGTGCAAGGACACGGAAACTTTGGGATGAAAATTTAGCAGAAGCCACTGGCAGTGTTTGCACCAGAAGGCAAACACCCTGGTCCTACTCAAAGAGCCTACAAACTTTGGGAGGATATAAAGACCCCAGAGTGCATGCAGGGAACTAGGTGGGGAAGACAGTGTGAGTTGCTCCTTCCTTGGGAAAAGGCAAACCCATCTGTGGGACTGTCTTTGCCCAAGGATCTGAGTGCATTACGGGAGCGATGCAAAAAAGTTGGGGAAATCAGGTGTGTGCCTTTAGGAGATTTAACACTGGGTCAAACTAATCTGTGGTCTGAGTTGTATGTTGTAGGAAAATACTGCCGAGCCAATGACAGGTCAACTTTCCAAGACACAGAGAACTTAAACTGCAAGTCTAACTACCCTAAAAATGGAATATTATCAGTATTACTGCCAAGAATAGATATCATGTGACTAAGCTTTCCACTGCAATGGAAAGGTAAGTTTTGCTCTGTTTAGTTAGTAACTCTTTAACACAGAAGGCTGCAGGCAGAGGCAGAAGACAACATAGAATCACTGGCTGCTTGTAATAGAAACAGATATATCAGTACAGGTTGCACAGAGAGGCCACGGGGTCACGTGTACACAGAATATTGTGTACTGTGTAGATATTCTATCAGCAAAGACAAGAAATAAACGTGTCTCAAGACCTTGTGTACCTAAGAAACAAAGAAATTACACCATTTAGACAACTGCTGTCATTTTTTTTTCCAGCTTTTCACTGAGATCGACAGTTGGAAGCCCTTGACCATGGGAGCTGTCACCTTGCTCTCTAATTCCTGCTTTGAGACAGAAAAGTGGGTGTCAGAAAGTGGGTGAGCAGAAATTTCCCTGTGGCAGTTTGGGCCTGTGGCTTCCTGTCCTTTTGCTGAGCGCTCTGAAAAAGTCCTATCTGTTTTCTCTACAATCCTTTTTATTTCTTTATGAAAGAAAATAGTTCTTTTTTTTTTAAACTCTAAGTTCAGCTCCCTCCTTCTCTCCTCATTTGCCATGCACTGCAAACACCATTTTAGTGGCTCTCCTCTGGACTCGTTTATCGAAATGTAACAGAATCCTGGTGGGAAGGTTCAACCTCTACTGCCATACCACCAACACTTGCCTCTGATGATGTGTGCCAATACTTAAAACAGGAGGCATTACCTTCAGAGCAGCCCTCACAGTTGCAGTCTCTCAGTGAGAAGCCAATGCTGGCTATATTTTTGCTAACACAGCGCTTCTTGGGATGGGTAATAAATAAAGCCTTGCTGGGGCTGCAGTTTTATCCAAGTGTCTCCTATGCTACGTCAACAGGTCTTGAACCTGTAAAATGCACAGTTAAGAGGTAGTAAGAATGGACAAAACACACAACATGCTAGAAAGCTTTTTATTTTTCTTAATGAATTGAGGTTCTTCTTATATGTAAAATGCCACTATTGCTTTACATGGCACACAGGCTAAATGAGAATGCTTAGCTTCATGGGCAAAGGCACTGCTTTGAAATGCTTGGTTCCTCACTTAATGACAAGTGAGAGTCGGCTGCTGCACACAGATAAAATAAACAGCTGGTAAAAACAGGAGAGCTGCAGCTACTGCTGTCTGAGATGTCTCCGTGGCTCTCACTGCAGTTGCACAGATGAAAGCAACCTCAGTGTCTGGAAGCACACCTATGAAATACCGAGTGCACGCTGTGCAAGGATTCTATCTGTACTACTCAAACCAAAGGAAAAAGTAAGTGGAAGGTCCACTAACAGAGGAGTAACAATCCAGTAAAACTGGATTTACAAAAAGTGCCTGCCCCACCTTGGGAAACCTCTCCACTGGTCCATTTTTGAAAAAAGTTTATCTTGCTTAACAGAACCACACACATTCCATTTGAGCAGGATACTTCCACCAGCCAATTCTGAATAGCAAGAGACTGCGATAGCTAGAATTGGTACTTACAAAACATTTCTCAAATGGAAGCTGCACTTTCTCTCTGGCTGGTGGTGTAGCACAGTGCTCTTCCCATGTACTACCAGCCATCTCCATCAGAGCACAGTGCTATCTACAAGATTTCTGCTTTGCCTATAAACATCATTTTGAGGTCCAATGACCTTTATTATCTGTTATTTTCCTCACTTTGTTCCCTTTTGAAAAATGAAAGCAGAAATGCAGGAAAAATTCCTTTGAACTAGTGGGACAATCCACTTAACTGACGGGGAAGCATGAAAGCCTTTTCAGTACATTCCCTAGCAAAGCATCACAGTCTAGTAACTAGTCTGTTAGTTGAACATCCGAGTAATACCCAAAAGATATGTGCATCAGTCAGACTAAATTGACCCTTCGAAGGATGAGGAAAAGCTTCCTTTGTTTCTTTCACCACCATACAAACATGGTGCCTCTCTTAGTACAGGCCCACTGAGATTGCTAGGAAAAGCAGCTGGTTCTCACAGAGAATTATTACTGAGTACTGACTGCATCAAAAAACTCGAATATTCACAAATTGCTGTTTGAAAAGGGAAGTTTTTCCTAGGGAATTGCAGAGTTTGTGCACAGTCTACAACTCACACACTGTAGATGAGCAGTAGTTTCTGCAATCAGAGGCAAGCACTGAGCTGAACAAAAAATGATCAGTAAAAACAGAAATGCAGCACAGATTACAGCTTTGTTACATTTGTAGATGTTAAACTTTGATGCCATCCTTCCCCAGAACTTCAAAGAGAATTCTGACTTAATTCACTATTTCGGAGCAAAGCTTTGCCTTTCAAATCTCCAGTGCAGCGTCCAGTATTGTCCTGTCACCACAGTTACACTGAGAACTGAATCCAAGAATAACTTCATTTGCCTTGCTCCCATCAGTGCCCGAATAAGAGGATAAATATTGCTTGTGTTTCAAAGCCCAAACATCAAGTAAACAGCAAGAATCATAGAAGAAAGCTGAGGAGAGTTCTGAAGGGATGTTCTTCCCCATAGACTTTCCTTTTTCTTTTGAGCTCACCAGTCTTTGGATTTCTCTGTATACTAGTATACAATTTTCCAGTGAGTTGGCTGCTCACAGTTTTTCTCTTTTTCACCACAAAATCGATTGTAAGTTGTTTTTGGATCAAATCCCAAGATCTCCCTTTCCTCATGAATCCGGAAGGAAAATGTTGAAACCGAGGTGCCTATAAAATACCTGTGGAAAAAAATCAGAATGGGTTTCTGAAACTCATCTGCTTTTCAAACACAAGTAACAGATTTCAGTCCAATGAATTTTAGTAAGAGATTTGCAAACAACTGTATCTGGGTCAAAAACAATATTCAGGTTTGTGACAGTAAAATTAGGCCCAAAGAAAATCAAACTCACTACCTAGCATGTGCACAGATCCACTGGTCAATCACAGCCATTCCCCCATCTTTGTACAGTTCTAGCTCCTCCCAGGTAGGTTCAAACCTCACCATCTCAGGCACCAGTTTCTTGAGCAATTCAATCTCTGAAACAGAGAAAAACAAACATTTATGTTAGAAAGTGCAATCTGCTGCTGTCGTAAAATTTCAGTGTTCAAAGAAGCTTTGGGTGAACAGTTACAAAGCAAGCAAATCCAAAATCTACTGATGCACAACACATCTGACAAACATCAGAGTACACTAAGCAAGGGCTGCAGCCAGTAAGGCAGACATGGTGTAAGGTAGACAAATACTGCAGGAGAAGGAAACCTGCACGAGGTATAATGGACACAGCTACTAGTCTCCTCATTTCTACAGGGAAGCTGCAATGACAGAAAACCTAAGATAAATTCACAGTTCCTTGCAGGGGTATTCTTACACTCTGTATTTAAACACATCCCTAGATAGCACTGGAAAGGAGGTGCAACCCTGGGGGAAACCCCAGCACTGGGAGATTTCGCAGCCAGGGCCACCCCAGATGGTTGTTGAAGACAGACAAATGGGTGGCTGGGTAGGAGACTTCAGAGATCTCTTCCCAGCAGCTTGCAAGACCTTCTGAAAAGCGAAGAAAGAAGGTAGGGTAGAAGGAAGATGAAGAGGAATAGGCAAAGATGGCACGTTACTTATCAAATGTTGCAGTTGGACTTGATGATCTTTAAGGACCTGAGCTATTCTATGACTCTAAATTCCCAACTGTAGAGCCTGTCAGAGTTCCTGTGAGAAATGCCTAACAAATGTTTTGACACTGTAATGGAAATGCTAAGTCAAAGCTTGAAGCAGTGACTGTGCACCTAGCAGAAAAGCAGGGCCAACCCAGGGGAGCTCAGGAGTCACCTGAGTGACCACAAGGGCTGGAGCCAGGATCCACCACTTTCCAGACCTCATTGAAGGGTTGGCAGTGGAGCCCAAGGCATCTCTCTGGAGATTCCTGTATACCTGATGCCTTCTCAAGGTGAGAAGCTCCTTTTCCTTACTTCTCTGCCTACTGCTGTTGTGTTTGTGCAAATCCTCATTCCCTGTAGCCTGGGATCCTGCTGCTCTGCGCATTGTTGTGCTTCCCCTTGCGTTACAGATACCAACTACAGATGTTTGAAGGAAACAGCTAGCTGTCCAATCCTGTTCATGTTCAATATGAACATATGAAGTGTAGCACATGAATTCTTATAAAAGTTGTTTATAAAAACAAAACAATGCTGTGCTCATTCTCAAAAGTCACTGATCCTAAAATGATTATTATTTGCCTACCATCCTCAACAGCATCAGTGGCTATGAAAACTCTGTCAAGTTTATGCGTTTTCAAGAGGCTGTGGATCTTCTTTGCTGCTCCATGCAGGGAAGGCACATCTTCTCTGTGACCCCAGATGAAATCTTTCCTTCTGAGATGAACCCCAAGGTACGGACCACCTAAAGCTGTGCCCATCTTAACCTAAGAGAGAAAGATCAATACATTTTAAAACTTAAAAAGAGTGCCATTATTCATTCACACTGTAAAGGCCTGGGAATTCTAATGCATAATCTCTGGATAAGGCATTGATAGCTGAAGAAAGTAATTTTAAGGCATGGATTTGTAGCATTTTGACTTTTGGAGGCCTGCGTCATACAAGACAAATTAGGGTGCAAAATCTTTGTAAGGAAAAAAAATCCTCTCCTTGACCAAACCCAGAACTGGCAGTTTGCAGCTGAACTTTACAACCAGAGATGATGCTAAAGACAAGAAGAGATCTAAGTTTCCTTCAATGAAACAAGGGCAACAGAAATCTAACAGCCAGATCAGCCAGCTGCATCTCAACACCTTCCAGTAACTCACGTCACACAAACAGGACAGAGTATTAACATATATGTCCACTGCGATCTGAGCAAGGACAGTGAGATCACGCATATCTTCCAATATTCCCTGCAGTGTACAGCAAATGAAAGCAATTTATCCCATTACGGGAAGCTAACTGTTACAGTTTTACCTTCATCTGTGTCCAGTCCTCATTGTAATGAGTCCTGTCTGCCTCGTCCGTTGATTGAAGGTGCTTGTTTCGAAACTCATCTCCTGCTACACGGAGGTGTTTAGCAAACACCATACTTCGACGAGTCTGTTGGAATAAGAGCAGATGCTGAATCAGAAAGGAGAGCTAAAAATGACTAAGTGCCAACAGCTTCATGAACAAGGAGCTCTCAGAATAGTCTTCTAGTATCCTTAAAGAGATCAATACTGGCTTTCTAATCTCATCCCAAATCTTCCAGCAAAACTTCATATTAAAGGAGGATGTACATACTGCCATTCAGGGACAGACTTTCTCCTTCTTTCTGTATAATGTCAACACAATTTGATTCTGTTGAAACATTAATTACCTTGCCCTAGATGTGATGAAGCAAAAAGAAGCATTGCAGAAATGTGCAAACACAACCTATGGCAGTACAATGCACTGGGGAGAACAACAAACAGCCTCAAATGCATGCCCATATGAAACACTTTTAAACTTCATCCTGATACGTGTGCAGCTGTCATGTCATGTCACACATACTGCCTAAGTGCCAAACAGGTTTTTTCTGGGTGCAGAGCATTCCTCTGACAGCAGACATTCTGGATGAATACTCATTTTGCAAAGGCATATCCAAAAGAGAACACACAAACTGACACACTTTCTAAAGTGGATGATCTCTGTATTTGCTTATTCTATTACATGGAGTATTTCAAATCTGCATGTATGATATTGTCCTTTCTAACTATTTCTAAGTTTTGCTTCTTCTTTCTTTTCATCAGGAAAGAAATAAACAACAGAGACCCTTCTCAGAGGCACGGTGAAAATGGCAAGAGACCATGGGCCCAAGCTGCTGCAAGGCAACTTCTGTTTGGACATAAGGTCAAACTTTTTATTGGCAAGAGCAGCAAAGTTGTGGGATGGACCCCAGAGAGGTGACAGATCTCCAGCCATGGGGACCTTCCACCCTCAACAGGACACAGCCCAGAACAGTCAGATCTAGTTCTGGAGTGTACTGTCAAGGCAGAGCCAACTGGGCACATCCCCGCCTAGATTTTTCTGTGGCTGTAAGTTTGAGAAAACAAAACTAGTACCAGTTACGTTCTCTTTGTGAACACAAATCAAATGAACAGCACAGATCATCTAATTCTCTGAGGTCATCCTCCCAGTGTGGTAAAACCAAACTCAAAAATACAGCATTTTGCCGAGGTATTCCTGGACAAAGTTGTTCAGACCAGTTATTTTCAGGCTACTCTGCTCCCTGACCTGGAAGTCTAGGAAGAGGAGCAGAATAAACCCCCCACACTTCAGGAGGAAATAGTTATGACCTCCTTGTGGAATGACACAAGTCCATGGGGCCAGATGAGGTCAACCCAGGGGTGCTGGAAGTGACTGCCAAGCCACCTTCCACTATCTATCAGCAGTTTAGGAGGATGGGTAAGTCCCAGACGACTGGAGACTTGACAGTGTGACACTCATCTACAAGAAGAGACAGTAGGAGAATCCACAGAGCTAAAGGCCAGTGTCAGGGAAGGTTATCAAACAGATCAGCTTGAGTGCAGTCACACAGCAAGCACGGGATGATGACAGGACCAGGCCCAACAAGCGTGGGTTCATGAAAGGCAGGTCCTACTTGACCAACCTGACCTGCTGACTGACAGCAGATGAGGGAAAGGCTGTGACCCAGACTTTAGGGGAGCCTTTGACTCTGCCTCCCCTAGAAAAGCTGGCAGCCCGTGGTTTGGACAGGTGTACTCTTTGCTGGGTGAAGAACTGGCTGGAGGGCTGGGCCCAGAGGGTGGCGGCGAACACAGATAAATCCAGCCGATGACCAGTTTCTCAGAATGGCGTTTCTCAGTCAGTATTGTGGCCAGCCACGTTTAGTATCTTTATTGATGACCTAGATGAAGAGATTGAGTGCACCCCATTAAGTTTGCAGATGATACCAAGTTGGAAGGAAACGCTGATCTTCTGGAGGATAGCAAGGGCCTTCAGAGGGATCTCGATAAGCTGGATCGCTGGGCTGAGGCCAATGGGATGAGGTTCAACAAGGCCAAGTGCCAGGTCCTGCACTTTGGCCACAACAACCCCAGGTAATGCCACAGGCTTGGGGATGAGTGGCTGGAAGACTGCATTGAGGAAATGGGCCTGGGGGTGCTGATCAACACTCAGCTGAACACGAGCCAGCAGTGCCCAGGTGGCCAAGAGGGCCAACGGCATCCTGGCCTGCATTAGAAATGGTGCAGCCAGCAGGAGCAGGGAGTGATCACCCCTCTGTACTCAGCTCTGGGGAGGCCGCACCTCGAGTGCTGTGTTCAGTGCTGGGCCCCTCACTACCAGAAAGACACGGAGGCCATGGAATGAGAAAGGCAACAAAACTGCGAGGGGTCTGGAGCACAAATGTTATTGGAGGAGGAGTGGCTGAGGGAGCTGGGGTTGTTCAGTGTAGAGAAAAGGAGTCTCAGAGGGGACCTTATTGCTCTCTACTGCTGCCTGAAAGGAGGCTATGGTTAGGTAGAGGCTGGCTTCTTCCATGTAACTAGCAACAGGATGAGAGAATAGCCTCAAGTTATGCCAGAGGAGATTCAGACTGGATGTCAGGAATAAATTCTTCTCTGAGTGGTCAGGCACTGGAATAGGCTGCCCAGAGAGGAGTCGTCACCCCTGGAGGTATTCAAGAAACATTCAGATGTTGTACAGAGGGACATGGTTTAGAGGAAGATATTGGTGATCTACACAACTGGTTTCAGAACATCGCGAGAGAGCCACTTCCTCTCTAAAATTTAAATTATATCAAGCACATCTTTTCTATTTTCCAATGGCCGAACCTTTACCTTTGTTATAATATTATTAAAACATTATTATTAAAATATTATTGGGTGGGGTATCCTAAAGTGCTCAGTGTTTTGTTTTGTTTTTTTTACCTTGAAACCTGTAGGAATTTTGCAATCAGACAGAAAGAAAGTTAGGATGATACTGAGCACTTTCAGGAACTCTTTTGAAACATCCCATCTTGAGGCTGACTAGAATTTAGACAAAGGCAGTTCTGTTCTGGTTGCAGAAGCGTTGTATGGGGGAGGTCCTTCTAAATACAGCTTCCTAGAGCTCTAGATCTTTGGGGAGAAAACATGCAAACACATTAATCACATTAACCCACAGCAGTCTGAAGACCACCTTTAGCAAATGCTGCTGAAAAAAATGTTACTTTCAAGAAAAAAAAAATCCAAGGCAAAACAGAAGCAGGTATTGGTCACCAACTTTTTTTTTTAATCAAAACCAAGTAGCAAATCTAGAGAAGCTAACTGCAGAATACTCACATTCCAATAATCTTTCCCTCCATAGTGGTCATGAAGAAGGTTTTCAGCTCTGTCCAACATCACTGACCTATTAAAAATTGTAAAACTGAGTGTAGTTCCCTTAGGAACAGAATTCACATTATGATGTTTCTTTATACAGATGCCAGGATAAAACACAGCCTATGATCTACTTGGAAATAGAGTATGGGGAATAAGGGATACATCTATGACGTATAAATTACGACCCAGAGCCTGCTGAGGAGAGAACAGAATAATGGTGTTGTGTGTTGCTGCTTTCTCCCTTAATAAATGTTACTCTTCGGTGTGATAACTAAACACAAACAAGCAATAACAATCCCTTGTATAGTCCTCAGAGTAGTTGCTACTGTAGAAATAAGATTGCCAACAGGGAGAATGATCCAAAGGGGAGAAGTAAGCAGCGATATGACAGCACAAGAGAAAAACCAGAGAAGGTGGTTTCCATGCATGTAATAAAGCACCCTACAGTAAACAGATTGAAGAATATACAGATGCTAGAAAAGCATATTAGTAAAGAAGCAGAAATTTTAAATTGCTTTTTTTTTGCTGACATGAAAACAGCCTATGTTTTCCTTAAGTTCTTTGTACACCGGGAATTCAATTGCAATGTCCAAGATCTATGAAGCAGAGAAGATCCTGAGAGTTTGGAGCATCCAAGAATACACAGGATGAAGACTTGGTGAGTGCTCTGAGCAAACTGAGTATGAGTGAACACACAAAGAAATGCTTCTGCAGAAGGGAGATCAAAGTTATTATCTGAATTTTCTTCTACTTAAAATGACAGGAAGCAAATAACCCATCAGATTTAGATTAACACTGTTCCAAATCAGCTAGGCACTTGCATGTACAGCTACAAAACAGACCTGGAAAACAGTCTATAGACTGTGCTGGTGGAGAAGAATCACTGCATTTAAGAGAAAGCTTAGAGGTGAATCAGATTGATAATCATCTGGCGAAGCTACTACAGTGAAATTCAACTTTTAAAAGGGGATCTATAAAAAATAATGAAGTTGTGCCCAAGTGAAGAAAACTGACAGGCTCACAAGCTCCATGGGGTTAAACAGAAAAAAAACTGTAAGGAAAGCTATAAAGAATTTTGGCAACAAGAGATAAAGGCTTCACTTAAATGAAAAGCCTTCCTTCCAATACAAAGAAAAAGAAAACCAAAAGCTTAACAATCATTAGACATGACAACATCTTAAGAGAAACAAAAAGCGTAATTTTTTTTGTAGCTGTGTGGTAGGTGGAATAGCTGGGAAGATCCCATGCAGGAACTTCTTTACACAGCAAACTCATCAGAGGACACACTGAACCAAAGTGTCAAAGGGAATGTATAGCTACAGGACAGCTAGGACAAGTGAACTAATGTACGGCCAAGCCATTCAACCAAGGGTGAAGCAGCAGTGCCTACAATTCTGGTATATGCCTTCTTGCTTAAATGGCGTCAGTATCAGAGGCCTGCAATGAGGCCAGTCTGATGCTAATCTTCTAAAAACGTGCTTTGGAGAGTTCTGTGATGCAACACAGTGGTAAGCTTGATGTCAGTACTGGACAACACAGTAGCAACTATTACAAAAACACAGAAAGGATAGCTAGATAAACTGTAAAAAGGGGCCCCTGAATTAGAGAATATACACTTTGGACACGACAAGCCTGCATATGCATACAGACCGGGGGGAGGACAGGCTAGAAAGCAGCCCTGTGGAAAGGCATCTGGGGTTTTTGGATGACAGAGAGTTGAACCTGAGCCAGCAGCGTGCCTGGGCAGCCAGAAGGGCCAACTGTACACTGAGGTGCACCAGACCCAGCACTGCCAGCTGGGAGAAGGAAGGCAATGTCCCCCTGGTGCAGCCACACCTGGAGCACTGGGGGCAGGTCGGGTGCCAGAGTATGAGAAGGACATAGAGCTATTGGAGAGCATCCAAAGGAGGGCTGCAAAGATGGTGAAGGGTCTGGAGGGCAACGTGTGTGAGGGGTGGCTGAGATCCTTGGTTTGTTCAGCCCAGAGCAGAGGAGGCCGAGGGGAGGAATCACGGTGGCCTAAAGCTTCCTGGTGAGGGGAGCAGAGGGGCAGGCACTGATTTGAACTGGTTGAGAGCGGCAGCCAATGGCTCAATGTCCGGATGGAGACCAACGGATGAGTGGTGTCCATTAGGGGTCAGCACTGGGACTGACATGATTTCATG